TTGGGTTTCATTTTACAGAAAGGGACTGATTTTTTGTTCAAAAACCCACTTTCACTTTTCCTCTTTTCGATAAAATCCAACACAACATCTGAAAGTGAAAGTTTTCTTGAAAAACAAACAGGGTTTGTTATGAATGACCTGATATGAATGGAAGCAATAATTTAATTTTTTTAATAAATTTTTGAGTTTTAGTCTCATGAATAAATTATAAATAAAAAAATAATTGCTTAGAAGAGTTTTTTTTTAATAAAATTTAACATGATTTTATTTTAAATTAATTAATACTTAATGTGATTATTGAATATTGAGATGTTAATATATATAAAAAAAAACAAGAGTTTATTTCTGCAGTCTCATTGTCAAAGACAGCGAAGTTTGTGGAGGCTGCTGAAATAAATAAACCCAACAATATTAAAAGCGCAACTTGTTTATGCAAAGAGGGCGGGCAGCCATGCCAATGTTTATCAGCCAATTTGGAGGAAAGTGAAAAGGGGTTGTTGACTAAATCCTTCCGCTCTTCACCTAACACCCGTGCTGTTGGATAACAGACATGTCTCTTTGTCTTCTGTTTTCACACGCATATTATTAGGAAGGAACAGACATCATTCCCTTAATTATAGGTAAGTTTTCAATCAAATTTCAATCACCAAACACTCCCTTTATTTATTTCATCACTTTCAATATGCTATAAATGTTATATAAAAACAATGCCATGTGCTTCTGGAAGTAGAGAAATTGCCAAGAAAGTAATGGTTTCTCTTATTTACATGGGACACTTCTCTCTTGGTTGCTAAGCAAACAATGAAATTACTTAGAAACATCATTCGTGGCACCCTTTTCACTAAAATGCCTCCCAAGTCCCTACTCCCATTTTTCAAAACGCTCTTTCTTCTTCCAACCATCACATACATCTCTCTTCCTTCCCCTCCCTCCCTCCCTCCCTCCCTCCACTTTTATAACCAAAATCCTCATAATCTCTCCTTCCCTAGTCTGTTTTTCCTCTGTATCCCGACATGGTATCCTGATAAATTCACTCCATTTAGAAAAAGTTCTAGTGTATCTTTCTTTCTTTTGTATTACCTTACTTAGATGTCTTCTGCTTTTTTTAGTGATTGAATTTGAAGTGTAGTGCTCTTTTCATTATCTTATTATGTTAACATTAGTTTTCTGTCTGTATGCAGATCTCCTGCATGATGTCAACATCTGATTCTACTTTCTTGAAGAAGAAGAAAAAGAAGGTAAGACTTCCTCCAAAGAGGGGCCAAGTGAAAGCAAAAATGTTTAAGAGATTGTACAAGATTGTCGTCTCCGCTTTCTCAAAGGCAGAAGAATCACACAAGAGAAGTGAGGGAGAAGGTGGTGGAGATGGCAGAAGCTCCGCCTCTGCGACATCACCTAAAAGCAGCTACAGCACTGGTGCAAATGGTGGCAACTCTTAGAAGATGGTCATGTTGGTATTTGGTATTCTCCATCAAGTTGTCACTTTTGGGTCTCAACTCTCTGAATTGAGTTTTCCCTTATACCTTAGAAAAGTTGGTGTTTATCTGTTATCAAAAGGATCTCTAAACCACACCACCACAACCAACCCCCCCCCCCCCCCCC